CTTGATTGATTAACTTCGGCAAATTCTTTATTTACAGTTAAATTAATATTATAAACAAGATGTAACGGAGAATTGTTGAAATACTTGGGAAAATAAGGTCTTTACTAATAGAAATTATACCCATATACATTTCTCATTTAAAGGACAATCTGGTTAATAGAAATCATTCCAAGGGGAAATCATGGTAGATGCAGGATATGTGATAGTGCAAAGACTTTCTCAATGTATACTTTTTTGTATATGATTTTAAATTTTGACACATGTAAATAGCTTACCTTTTTAAAAAAAACCATGCATATACATGCTTATATATAAACATTTATGGCAAACAGGTTTTTGTGTAACTTTATAGCCAAAAGTGTAAGGGTAACCATAGGAACATTCCTTTGAATATACAGCACCAAGAAATATTTCTTCTTTAAATGTCGTAGATTTTGAGAGAGTAACCCCTACTTCATTAAAATTGCTGTGTTCTGAGTAGATAGGACATGATTTTAGTTGAAGGCAAAGTATATACTATTAAATCACTAGTATGCTACTGGACTTAGGACAAGCTGGTTGCCATGATAAATTCTAGAGGAAATTTCAGATGTTTGTGTTACAGTGTTTTCTTCAGATAACAAAGGGAGAAAGATCATTTTTTAAATTTATTTTTCCCAACTCATGGGTGTTCTAGTGTCTCATAAAGGGTTTTAAGTGGTTCTTAACCATTTTTTTCACTGAAACTAAGAGATTTCAATTTAAAAAGAACTTCGCTTTGAAGTGAGCTGATTACTTACCAAGCTCACTTTTTCTGAGTACAGTACAAATTACATATTGTTTCTGAGGAAAGAATTTAAGAGCTAGCAGAGTTTTTAAAAGATAGTAGATGGTAGAGTATAATTTCCAGGAGAAGATCCAGGATGTATATTTTCCTAAAGTCTCACAGTATCTTATTTTCATTTGTATTTTAAAGTAGAAGACATTACAATGACCTAATGTTTTAATTATAAACGTAAACATTCTTTAAAGTATGATTCTATTTTATGCAGTATTTGAAATTATTCTACTAAAGAAAGCTATTTACCACCATAGCAGAGAGCATTAAGATGTAGTAAGTCCAAATAGTATTTTTTTTCTTTTTTCCCTGAAAAAACTTTTTAAGAACTTTAAATAACTATAGCTTCACAGTTTACTTGTAATAAAGAATGTTAATGGGGAGGGTAGGAGTTAATTACCTAGACCTTTAATAATGGGCCTTTCTAGTAGTACAAGGAATCTTATAATTGCCTCCAAAGCTAGTAGGTAGAAAGTTGTAAGATAAAATATCTAGATTTATGAATAATACTCATCCTAAGAAAAATGTTGCCTTCAGGCAAACTTTGTTACCTTTGCTGTTAAATAAAATACCTTTTTAATGATAAGCAGTATACCTTGTGAAAGTAACTTTGGAGGTAGAAGTCCAGTCTCCAGATTAGATTAAGAAGCAAAGGTAAAACTAGTGATACAGCTTTTGTTCCTTTAGAGAAGATAGCCTTTCAGACCTATTTTATACACTTAAGTGGTAAAAAAGATAATCTTGGGATAACTAAGAATTAATGCAGTTTGTGGTAATTTTCTTGAAAACTATATTTTTAAAGAATGAAAAGGAAAACCATAGGGAATACTTCCATTAAATCTTAATACGAGACATTCAGTTTGAAATATAATTTATATTACGTAGTTGCTGCAAATGCTGTATGCTCCAAACTGGTTTACTTTATTGTCGGTTCCCCCAAAGAATATCTAATCTCTCCCTTTGGGCTTGCCCATTTTATACCATCCAAGCTACTTGAGAAATCCGATCCCCCATGCCAGGACTCCAGGAGGACACTTAGGGAAAATAGCCTGTTTCGCCTCTGTTTGGGGCGGGCGGGGGTGAGTGGGTGGGGGCAATATGAAAATATATTTCATTTTCAGAATGTTTCCGGAACGACTTATTTGTGGAAATGTTGCTCTATTTAAAACTCTACGAAAATGCTGGTTTCACAAAATGCAGAGCTAATCTCTGAAAGTTGGGCAGGGGGAGCGGGCTGCGGGGTGGGGGCGGGCTCTGCTGCCCACGTCTCCCTCTGTTCAGCGCGCTGTGTGCTCACGGCTTCCCTGGAGCGGATCACCATATAATTGATGTGCAGTCTGCATTGCTGAATCCTGGACTGCACCATTCTGTGTTCAAGGGAAGATGTAATCTGATCCCTCTGCTGCTGAGGGAGGAATCTGCTCAGTCAAGGCTTTGACAGGGCATAGTCTCCTCCAATAATCTTCTCGGTTCTCTCTCATTATTCCCTCGAGTTCTTCTCAGTCAAGCTGCATGTATGTATGTGTGTCCCGAGAAGCGGTTTGATACTGAGCTGCATTTGCCTTTACTGTGGAGTTTTGTTGCCGGTTCTGCTCCCTAATCTTCCTTTTCTGACGTGCCTGAGCATGTCCACATTAGAATCTGTGACATACCTACCTGAAAAAGGTTTATATTGTCAGAGACTGCCAAGCAGCCGGACACACGGGGGCACAGAATCACTGAAGGGGAAAAATACAGAAAATATGGGTTTCTACGGCACATTAAAAATGATTTTTTACAAAGTAAGTAATCTGTTTTCTTCCTGTGCTGTGTGATTGTGTGTGTGTGCCTGCCTGAGCAGGAAAATCTGTATCATCAGAGATGGCTGCAGTATCCTCTAATTTTGGTGGGTGGCTGGATGTCTGGTGTTCTGTTTTATTTCATGAATGTAAGCAAATAATGGAGCGACAACGTGAGCCGGGGAAAGCTTTACATTTAAAATAAAATGTGTATTTTAATCAGAATTTTTCACTAAAAATTTATTCAGACTTTAGAAATGTGGCTCCGTTAAATGCTGACCTGGAAATACTCTATCCTTAGTTGGCTTTCAGTGAAGCATTTGCCTTCAGTTTTTCTATACCTTATTTTTCTTTTACTCAGGAGTTGGCTCTTAAAGTGTACAATCGCTAGAATTTGGGGATTTATGTTTAAAGAGATTATGTTTACTTTCTGTGCCCCTCAGAAAATTGCAGGGTTCATTTTTGCTTCTAAAGTCAGTATCTTTAGTAAACGGTACAATATTTGAAAGACTTCAGAATATGCTTTGTTGTGTAAAATAATTAGAAAATAAAATCCTCAGTATTTTTCATAATATATATTTTGAGCATTTTTATTCATTGAGGGATTTCCACGATGGAAATAAAGTTTGCTTTTAGTGGCAAATGGCATTTGCAGCAATGTATTTACAAGATATCCTGGGAAGTTTTGATAGCCAGTATTACCAACTTAATTAGAATGAATATCAAAGTTTCTCGTAATAATTATGAAAATAATATACAAAAGTTATCCCAAAACTTGATTGTAAGATAATCTCTACTGACTGACTTTCATGATGAATTCATTTGCAAGTATGTGTGTCTATATATTATACACGTGGAAGCATGTAGCTACCTGTACATTACAGCTTTGATAATACTTTATGTTTGGTTTTTAATAAAATCATGTAGAGAAGGAAATCAGTGGTTTTTGAGAAGGGTCACTTTAAAATAATGTAATGATTAATACAGAACAGAAACTTCTGAAGGAAAGAAACCAGACCAATTCTATTTTTTTCCAGTGGCTATTTTACGAACTAAGATATAAATTGTAGATAGACTTATTGTACCCTCACCTCCACCCGCTAATGTAAGATCATCCTGCATTGAGTAGAAGACTTTCTTCATGATGTTAAAAATCACGTCTTTACCGTGGCTCAAAAAGATTTTTAGGGTCTCTTTAGTTCTTTTTAGTACTCACATTGTATCATACTGTGTTATGGTGTTCCCATGTGAGGCAATAGGTAGGAAAATAAGACTGTAAAATAAAAGAGTTTTCACCTTACTAGAAAAATGAAAATAACTATTTATCACTCTGGGTCTCTCCCCCCTCCCCAGTAACTTGCAGTAATACAGTAATTAATTAGTGGATACAAATCTGAAAAATATTGTTGAAATAGAAAAAGTTGAGTTTCATCAGATCTTATTTTCTAGTTTTAAAATAAATATAGTAAAATTACATCAGTTAATTGATAGTGAGATAAAAATAAATGTTTCAATATTGGCATTGACAAAATGAATTTCTGAATATATTTAAAATATAACATGGCATAATGAAATACCTACAAATGTAAATGTTTGATATATCTTATAAAGATGCATAATTCATTCTCTTGAAATGCTTTTGTTCTTGTTTCAAGTTAAAATATTTTATCTACAGTATCTGTCAGTAGAACTGTACTCTGTATATATAGCAATTGATGACTTTTTCCCTTCAGCTTTATCATGCCATTTCCAGATCTCTCTCTTACTATGGATTTACTTTTTTTTTTGCTGTCTGTATTGTTCATATTAATTATATGCTTTACTATAATCAGTGTTCAAGATTATTTTATTTACATTGCTTTCTCTACCCTTTTATAATAATAATAGGTATTTAGAGTCAGTCATTTCTTTACCCTTTTATGATGTAGGTATTTGGAATTTAGTTAATTTCCAATCTTATTTTTGGTATTTTGTTTATTACCTTTCTTAAAATGTGTTTTTAAGGAAAAATGAAGATTAGTGAGAAGACATGTTAAATATGGTTCTTTTCTGTATAAGTTAACATGGTTTTTTTTTTTTTTTCCTTATGCTGGCTATTAAACTGGAAAACATAAAATGTGTTACTCTCAAGGAATATATATGGTTAACATCAATTTTCCAGTCACTATACACTGTTCTGGACAAAATATTTTACAGGGTAAATTTACCTTTTCAGTTGGCTAAGAATAAAACAAATAGAATAAATAGAAGAAACTGTGAAACAATTCTTCTTTATTAATTACCTAGTTACCAGTATAGGCACATGAAAATTTAAGAATTTATAAAATACTACAGTGTTAACTCAGGATTTGATAGTTGGACAGGTGATTTTTTTTTAAACATATCTTATTTGCTTTACCTTATAGATGAAAAGAAAGTTGGACCATGGTTCTGAGGTCCGCTCCTTTTCTTTGGGAAAGAAACCATGCAAGGTCTCAGAATATACAAGGTAATATTAAATGTAATAATTGATTCTCTCATGGTTCTCATGCTTTTAGATTTGATGATTCTGGAAGCATTGCTTTCAGTTTGTTCTCATAGGATAATCATTTATCAGTATAGTTACTTGTTTAATGTATTTTGAGATTACCGAAAATTGGGAAATACATCAGTTTAAATAGGAAGGACTACCACTGTAGTTTGTATTTTGTAGTAATATATTGAAGTAAAACACAAGCAGAAGTTCTCTTGTGAACAAAATGTAAAATCACAATTTTTAAGGAATTCCATAAAGTAAACCATAAGATATGAGCAAATATGTTTTGTTACTATAGCAACAGCTCTAGTAGGGTGGATGTTATATGCAGAATTGAAGATAAATGATTAGCAGTGAAATAAACCTCACAATTACTAACTCAGACTTATTTCATGAAATTAATGTGTTAGAAATTCCCTTTTACTGGCTTCCTAGGTCTTATGCCTTTAACACATACATTTCTACACCCGTGGAATAGTTTCCATAACAACTCAATACAATTGTAGTCTTGTTTCCTGCTTCAGTCCATCATTTTTAGATTTTGCATCAGTATGAAACTTTTCCCACTCTCGCACTAATTAGGTAACTTAGGCACAGTATCTGTAGCCTAGCTAATTAAAAATGGCTTCGCTCATCATTTGAAATGCTGTATTTTAAAATTTAAATGACAAAAGTATCTTAAGAGCTGTTTTTTGGTCTTTTTAATTTTTTGTTTTTTGTACAGTTGACACTTCAAATAACTAATTGAAAGTTAATAGTAGAAACCCTAAGGAATTTCATGTTTATGATAGTTCTTTTTTCTCCAAGTATTTTGATTTAGAATTACTTTTGTTCTATAAGATGTAGATTAACATTCTCAGACATCAGGCTTTTCAAAATTGAATGTCATTACTGATTCATCTCTTTTTAAAAAGAGAAACAGTTCATTTTATTTCATTCCACTGTGGATAACATTTCTTTCAAATGCTCTTTTATAAAGTTTAGAAATCATAATCATTAGGTAATTTTATATGCAAAAAACTGAGGAGCTGATACAGAAGAGAAAAATAAAGCTACCCGTCAGCTCCTCAGGAACTGCTTCTCTGTGTGGTATTTCTCATGTTAACTGTGCCCTTCTTCTCTCTTTCTTGACAGTTTTACTGTGCTTTGGCACTTCCACCAGAGGGTGTGGAGGGACAGAGAGCAAGGGAAACCATTCCCTCCATGCTGCCTTCTCCTTTGAGCCTTAAGAAAGTATTCTTGGATGAGAAGGCCGAGTTCAATGCTGTTAATGCTGTTTTTCAGATGTATAGATTTCAGTCAAAACATATTATTTTGGTTTTCTATTAATACGGCTTATACCAAGATAGAGTTATTAAATTGTTTGGTTGTTTTTTTAAGGCAGCTTATAAAAAATTGTTGAATTTTTATTACAAAATACATTTTAGTAAAATTTATCATTAGTTGCTCTCTTTTTATATTGAGAAAGCAATTACCTTTTAATGTGTAATCTTACTAAAGCAAAAATAGACCAACGGCTTATTTATTTCCATGTCTTTTTGGAGGTTTTGTCAATTACTAATGTATATATTTAATATTTTTGTGATTTTTTTTGACAGTTTGACATCTTTCAGGATGAAACTGACTTTACATTTTTTCCTAGAAAATTTTAAGTTATAAACATATATCCTATTTATTTTTCGAGCAAGGGAAAATTGAACTTACCTTTGAACTTGAAAGAAAAAAAGGATAAATTTAATTGTTGAATGTGAGCAATTATCTCAAATATAAAAATGTTAAAAGATTGGAAGGGAACAGGTATGAAGATTTTTCTATAGAATACAGTGATTGAATTGCATTTTTAAGCAAAAAATTGAGATACACTGGATAGAAAAATTTGCAGGGGTTGCTTCATTAGTACATTTATCAGAGCATGATACTCAGTTATGGTGATATAATAATTGCATGTGTTCTTTTAATTTAAACCAATTTATTATTATAAATCAATGAATTGAGAGTTATTTTCTCAAATGTAATGTTACCTGCATCTTTTTTTGTAATGTCTCTAAAGTACAAATGCTCTGTATTTATCGTGTTTAAATAATTTAATTGGATACAGAAATTAGAAAGTAAAGTTTAATACACTTGTAACAGTTAAAACTGTGTTTCTGCCAACAGTCATTTTGGGGAATGTTAGACATTTTTAGAACTAGATCATACAGTCTTACTCCTTCATTTTACTGGCTTCAAAATTTTAAGCTCAGATTTGTTTAATGTTTAATTTTCTCAAAGTTTAAATTATTGGATAAGAATGTTTAGATGATCTCATTTAATTTTGACTGTAAGTTCTTGATACCTATTTTAATAACTATTTCTGGTCAAGAGAATGTTGATGTGATCTCATTTTAATTCTGCCTGTAAGTTCTTGATATCTGTTTTGAATAACTATACTTTTAATCAAGACTGATTCCTGTCATGTACTCAAACTAAGATTTATTAATAACAAAATATTAGAGAACAATAGGTATAAATAATTTTGCTGTAAGGTAAATTTAAGGTAATGTAAGGTAAGGTAAGGTAAATTTAATATCCAAAACATTTCAGTGTACTATTTTTAGATCTGAGTTTTTAAGAATCATGAATAATCTCACACCCCATTTCATAAAGAAAATTTAAATTTTTACTTAATTATGTCACTGAAGACCTTAGAAGTGAGGCGTGTGTTTTCTAAGGAAACATTTTATTTTTTTGATAGGGATTGAATTCCTTGCCCCGGGCATGCTGAGCACATGCTTTACCACAACGTTATCCCCCAGCCCTAAGGAATTATTTTAATATTATTTGTGTGTATCAGTGACTTGCAGTTTTGCCATAGAGATGCTGTCATTTGGTTGCACTTAGCACTGCTGAGATGATAACAGGTGTTATGTAGGAGGGAGGAAACTTACTCTAAGAATAGCAAAGAAGGTTTTTCACACCCTTCCTCTCTGGGAATAAGCAATTAAGGGAATAAAGGAATTCATGTTTGAAATATGTGAGGTCGTCATCCTCATTACTCTTCTTGTTAAATCAGAGTTCATTAATCTTAATATCTATCTTTGCTTCTACTCTTGCTTTTTGTTTTGGTAGTACCACTGGGCTTGTACCATGTTCAGCAACACCAACAACTTTTGGGGACCTGAGAGCAGCCAATGGCCAAGGGCAACAACGACGCAGGATTACATCTGTCCAGCCACCAACAGGCCTCCAGGAATGGCTGAAAATGTTTCAGGTGACTTACGTAAATACACTACTTGAAATGCTTCACTTAATTGCTACAAAAAAGCAGGGATTATTCAGCCACAAAAAGAATGAAGTGTCCTTACGTGCTGCACCATAAATAAACCTTGAAAGTGTTATGCTAAATGAAATAATCACATCCTATTTTCATTCTGTTTATTTTGTTTATAGGAAATGTCCAGAATAGGCAAATCCATGGAGACAGAGATAGTCCGGTGGTCGCCAGGCAGTGAGGGATGGGAAGACTGGGAGTGATTGCAAATAAGCGCAAGGCCTTTTTTGGTGTGGAGGAAGTGCTGGGAACATGGAAGTGTAGACTTCCACCTGGTGTTGTGTCTCAGTGAAGTTGCTGTGCAAGAATAAGGGAGCTCATTTTGCCGTGTAATAATTAAGAAAGTCCGACGTTTATTTTGTAGAAGTATACATTTGCATTTTGTACTGCTTCTCAAATAAGACCTTCCTTCCTTTTCTCATTTATGTTTGCATTTCTTAACTGTGGAATATACTTGTTTTCGAAACCGCATTGATGTAAATTAGGCATTTAAAACTAATTTAAGAACTCTAATTAGTCACTGGAAGAACTTACCCTTTACTGCTGCCCTGGTAGAATTGATGCAGTTTCTTCTTATCATAGCCGTGTTTGTGTACTGCTTAGTGTACTCCTGTTCCAAGTACTATATTTTCTAGTGTTTAAATTCTTTCGACATATACTAGAGGACTGTTTGCAACCAGACCTTGACTATGAAGAATTTTATAAATTAATGTAGTGACATTAAATTGACTTATCTCTACTTCCTATGAGATAATGTATATAAATCAGGTGTTAACAAAATAGTTGGCATAGATTAAGCACTTGCTTAATTATTCTTTACAGAATATAAATAAAATTATGTCAAATGGAGATACCTGGTATTAACTGCTATCCTAATGTAAAATGAATATATTTCACTACCTCTGCCTGCTTGAATGGTTGAATATATAATGCTTAAGGAAATAATAGTTGAAAATGATACTTGTTTGACTTTATTTGGTATTTCAGATTTTTTAAAGGTGTTACCTTATATAAGTTCTAATAGTATAGATAGACAAAAACAAAATAAATGGCTTTTTTCTTCTGTAGCTGGAAAACTCAGTTGAATCAATGTTACTTTTAAATGGAGTTTTAAACTTTTTACCCTTCAGGTGATTTTAGAAACACTAGGATAGTTTGGGGTGGGGGAGGTATGATCAAAGCACTAGAGCCCCAGTTCTCAACAGGGTTTGGCTTTGGGGCTAGATGAGACAAAAACGTCTCAGGACGTTTTTGGGGGAGCTACAGTGGAAAGGGAGAGGGATGGGGCAATGTTAACAGCAACCTCCTGTGGCAAAGAATTATCCAACCCAAAATGTCAGTGGTACCAAGGTTAAGAATCCCTGTGTTAGAGAAATGAAAGCCATATTTTATTGTTTTTAAAATATTGTGAACCACAGCAATTACAAAGTTTTTTTTGTAAGTGCTCCTAGTCAGTTGCTGACTTATCTTTTCTCCAAGGCCTGTTTCTGTCCTTTCCCTCCTTCCCTCTTCATTCTTTTGCCTCATATTCATGGTATTTTTTACAATTTTTATGCATGAACTCAGAATCCTAAAGTTTTTATTTTGTCTCATCTTTGTAAAAGAAATTTGTCCATCATCAGTAAGAGATGAAAACAAAATTTATAGACATTTATATAGTCTTAAAGAGTATTACAGATTTTCACCATCCCTGCTCCAGGGGGATCGGACTATGGATGTCTATTGTCATGTGGCAGATGCATGTGAGTGTGAGCACAACAGCCCTTGAGAATAGCATAGAAATGATTCCTTATGATTTTTTTGTTGTTGGTAATAAAATACCAACATGATTAAAATTACACTTTAGTAATGGTTTTATCATCATGGTAGACAGCCTCCATCATGCTTACTTTACTATATGAAAAGATTTATGTCTGTTTGTTTTTTTGTTTGTTTTTCTCCGGTACCGGGAACTGAACTCATGACCTTGCGCTTGCCAGGCAGGCGCTTTGCCGCTGAGCTAAATCCCCAGCCCCAAGATTTATGTCTTATCAAGAGGAAGTTCAGAGTAAGGTTATTTATGTGGTAGGGTTTGGCTTTTTCCCAGTGTTTTAGAAAACCAAAAGATTTTTTGTATGCCATTTAGGGTATTAGCCAATTTTAAGGAGACTGTCTAATACTGATTGGCACTTGGGGGCATTTGTGCTTTATTTTATAGTGAGGATTTTGAAGAGTTCTTTATAAAATGTTTGCTTGTTCAGTGAACTCATGCTTTCCTTAAATGATCAAATGTTACTATTTACTGTATTTCATCAAATCTGAGGCTGCTTAGATATTTAGATGCATCCCAGTTTCAGATATGTTAAACGAAAAATACAAAAACCTTATTTTTTAAAATCACTGAGACTCAGTAAAGAATGTTAAACCAGCTTTGTCCTTCAAAGCATGTGATTACTTTTTCACATGAGAAGTAGGTGTGATGAAGGAAACTTGTGCTTAGTTTACAGAAGTAACGTAAAATTTATGCCTGCTGGTATAGGACTATGTATTTTTTTTTTATATAATCTAAAGCAAACAGATCTGTAGCATCAAAAGGTTGATATGACAGGCAGATCAGGGCCTTAATCTTTTCAGTATCATGTCTGCCTCTGACGCACCCAAGGTCTCTTTGTTGTATGCTGCCCCACCTTTTCAGGGCTGGTGGCAAAATAACTAGAAATGAATCACTTGCCAAAAAGCTTATAATGCTTTAACACATAACTTGTAGGCAGTAAAGTATAACTTGTAATTTCATAGTAAAGTGGGGGCGCCGTAAGTTGACCTGTGCGGTGGAGTGGAGGGGTAATTGCACTGATGTGGTTTTTTAGATCTGGGGGAGGAGCATTCGGTGATGACTCTTCTGTCGCATGACCAGCAGAATGGGATATCTCATCTCCTTACTGTCCTGTTACTTCTGAGGAAGTGATACAGCGTTGTTTTGGTCCAACTCCATCTGTTCTGACAAAGTAGTCTGTTCTCAATTTGCAAATTGAATGAGAACAAATGATACACCATTTTGGATAAAACGAAACTGAGACAAAATGCTAGTGCAAAATAGAAGTGAAAATTAAAGACAAGACCAAAAAACAAATTTTGTAACATTTGAATTTTCCATAGGTATTGATGTGCATAAAAGTAGAAACAGACAAATTCTTGGTTTCTTCAGAAAGTAAAACTTAGGTGATGCTGTCTGAGTTAGCTTTTGACATTAGCTGGCCTTAACAATTAGAACTGGCCCACAGTTCGGATAGACTGGATACCATGCTAGACGCGCTAGAGAAGCAAGTTCTTTACCACGTGAAATTCAGGCAGAGTATTACCCAAGGTCATAAAACACTGTGTGTAATTGGAATCGCTCAGACTGGTAGACCCCAAGTTCTGGTTTGTGAATCACCCACACCAGTGTTGGATGAGTTGCTTAAGAAATAAATGTCCTCAGCCATATCTCCACCGCTGAACCTCACCTTAGCTGGTGGGTCATGTGTGAGTTTTCTATTCCTTGACAACCATTTGGGAGCCTCTGGTCTGGGCCAAGCCCTTTGTTAGGTAGGTGGGGCCTCTGAGACTCAGACTGACAGGACTTGCACACAGTTGCACAGTGTCCAACAGTGAGTTTACTGGTGACGCCCAGTCTGTTCATTGGTTCGGTGCCCCTTCTGCTGTTCCTCACTGTGTGTCTGCTTGAATTGAAATAAAATTCCACTTCTGCAAGGAATTTCCAGTTTTGCATTTGCAATTCTGCACACAAATAAAATTTGCACTTCTTCATCTTTTCTGAATCTAGAATGTTTTTCCTCTTCCTACATGTTCCCATTGGCCATCATGAAAAGCCACAAGTGGTTTTTCCTTTCCCAGGTCTTTTTCAGACAGAAGTAAAGTAATAATAATCAGAGTTAATCTATCACTTTCCTGTTCCAGATAAAGAAACTAAGGCCTGTGAGGTTAAATTGTAGCCCTAATTATAGTATCTCCTCTAAAAGTTGAGTTTCCTGATTGCTAATTCAGTGCTCTTCCCACTGTTCCTTGTTGAAAGGGCACTATAGGTTGTTATTCTTTTAATTTTGATAAACTCATTGAAGGTTTTCAGGTGCATACATAATTCCTTGCTGATCAGTCTCATGTGTACAAAATTTGAAACTGCTTAGAACCAGACTGAGCAAGCAAGTCCTAGCGATGTCATTCAATACAAAGAATAGAAACCAAAGAATTTTGAGATAATATTACTGTAGTTAATTCCTAACTTTTGAAATTCATTCATTTAGGCCATAAATATTTTTAAGTACCTACTTTGTGCTAGGCCCTAGTTTGAGTCTACGGTACAGTAATAGATAAAATAGACAAAAACTGTCTTGGCATAGAATTTATATTCTAGACAGGAAGGAATAGATTGGGGTTAAACTGGTTTGCAGCTTTTAAAAAGCTCAGTTCTTGCCGAGGAGGAAGGGTTGTCCATACAAAGGAAGGAAGCAAGCCTGTGGGTATCTCGGGTAGAATGTACCAGCTACCCAACACATGAGCAGGCTCTGAATCACGGCATGCCAGGGGTGTTTGAGGCACAGAAAGAATGTGCATGGCAGAGGAAAGTAAATAAGAGAGGAAGTAATAAGGGAATTAGGATCTTGTGGACCAGCCTGAGAGCTGTGGTTTTTATTTGACTGAAGTGGGAAGCCACTGGAAGGTTTGAAGCAGAAGAGTGACTTTTAACATTCACCAAATACTGGTGAAGAATACAACAGGAGGTCAAAGGAGGCCAAGAGACCTGTCAGGAATAATCTAGGTGAAAGACACTGGTATGGTGTCTTAGACCAGTGTAGTAATGTTCAGATTCTGAATGTGTGTTGAAGCTGTAGGCCATGAAGTTCACTGGAGTCAGAGCTGTCTGATAGTGGGAGAAGGAGAAGAGTCAGGGGTGACTAGAGTTGGGGCCTGAATAATAAGTACAACATGTTGCTTCATCTACATGTCACTGAAATGAGGAAGACTGTATGTTTGGAGCGAGCACTCATATAACTTCCTACTGCATATCTGGGAGCAGATGTTGAGGAGGTGGTTTGATGTACAGGTCTGGAGTTCAGGGACGAGCTCCCAGCTGCAGGAGGGAAAGCTCTCTCAGTGGCCCAGACCTTTGTTGAACTCACCCAAGAGATGTGATTTTAAGTAATTGGACTGTTGAATGTGTGTGGTCCATGGAAGCAGTCTTACTTATACATAGTTAGAACAGTATCGTTTACAATATTAGAAACATTTTACCAGTCATAATTTTTGCATAAACTTTGTCTTACATATATAGAAATTTGTGATACTGTTTCAAGCATCTACCTAAGGTCTGAATTAGTATTTATCTTCTAGTTTATTTTTCTGCTTTATCTCTCTATCTAAAAGATTTGATAAAAACTTATTTCTCATTTGTTATCATTTATATACTGTGTATTGTAATGTTTTAAATACTTTTTTTAAAAGCAGTAATTCATTAATTAAAAAAAATGAAACATGTAGTTTATTACCTTATATTAGAAATACAATATCTACTAATGTAAGTAATCACAAACACTTCCAAAAATATTTTTAAACCAGTTGTTCATATATATATGAAAGAGATTAAGAAGTTTATACTAAAATTATTCTATAAAATGCCTTAATTAAAGCTGCATTTTGAGTCAGCATAGTTGTCCATCACTCAAAATGGGCCTGTTCTTACAGTAATAGTTTCCACAAATACAATGTAGATGGAGAGGAAGACCATATTTATGAAAACCCACCTCATTCTGTGAGGGATATAAATCAATAAATCAGTGAGCTACATACTGTTGATACTAACTAAAGTGGAGATTGATCAGATTATCAAATAGGTAAGTTTAAACCAGTGGTTTTTTAAAAAAGTTTTATTTTTATTAGTACATGTGTGCAGTATATAGTTGAGCCCGTATTTAAAGGTCTGTGAAGCAAAAATATAATCAAATACTTTTGACTGATTGTGTATGGACGTACACATACATAAGAGTATTTGAGATTTTTATTTGTAAATCCTCACTCTGACCACAGAATGCTAAATGAGTACCCTAGATGAATGTTCTGAGTGTATGTATGTGGAGGTGAAGAGGACGCAAATTTATTGGAGCCTCCAGTTCTTTGTATTTGGTGGTGAATTTGAATAGATTATAGGAATAGTTAAATACTATTGAAAATGTTTCATAGTGATGCCATAACTCATAGTTTATGAGAGAAAAGAAGAGCTGAAGTTCATTGTAGACTCTAACAGGGTAAATACTTCCAAAAATATTATTTAGAGTACTTTAAGTAAGACTGCCTTGTATCCTTAATATATTTGTTTTCAATTATTATGTATTTTACATGGGCCTGAGCAACTGTTTCTCTTTCGAGCAAGAAGTAGAATGTGAAAGTTCAGATTTTTCTAGCTCCAAAGCTCACCTATTATTTTCTATTCATTGTCTTCCAGAGGGACACAATAATTCATGAAAGTATTTAAATCAGCATCGATTTACAGAAACAAAGCTCTGTTCAAAGATGTTTTTTTCATTTATCATGAGGTTCTTTACATGTTTTACATGATTATTGTGAAACACCAACATTTTAAATTATTCATATGACTTCAAAGTTTTTCCTTTCAAAAATCCTGGCTTTTTGTGTGCAGGTGTTCTTCACTGTGAATGAAAAAAAATTTTTTTTACATAGTCCTCTAGTGTTGTTATATTTTTGAAGTATAATTATATATTTTTGTGTTTCTATAGTATAACGCTTTATTTTTTATTCTTATTTGGTCTTTGTATTCTAATTTTACTATGAAGTCAGCTACTATTTTTTGTTTGCTATTTTTAAATCTGAAATTATTTTCATAAAACAACCCTTTCAATTTGTAGAAGCCCCTTGTCAGCTGTGCACAATCCAGGACTTTGCTGTAAATGATGCTGCTGATCTCCTGACTCATAGATGACTTACGAAAACCATCAAATTTTATGGTGCCCACTACAAAGAATGTAGGAAAAAAATCATCAAATTCTCTATTTACTCAGTAGCCCTAGCTGTTATTTCTGGAATAAAATTTTGGCATGTCAAGCAGCTGTTATAATAATGTGGAAACATTTTTTTCAGTCAAAATTAGGACTTTTTAAAAAGCTTTGGTAGGGGCTGGGGATTTAGCTCAGTGGCAAAGCGCCTGCCTGGCAAGCGCACGGTTGTGAGTTCGGTTCCCGGTACCGGAGAAAAACAAACAAACAAAAATAAATAAATAAAAAGCTTTTGTAAATTAGAGGTAATTAATAAACTTGATGAAAAGACACTATCACTGCAATGACTTCTGTAGAAAATATCATGATAAGCAGTTGCTTTTTAGTGTTCTAAAAAGGATTCTTGCCTTGTTCAAATATGGTTGTGTACGGGTGTGTTTTTTAAAATGAACTTATCATTTGGGACCTCTATTAAAATAGTAATAATTTTGAATTCCTCTTTGATAGAGCTGGAGTGGACCAGAAAAATTGCTTGCTTTAGATGAACTCATTGATAGTTGTGAACCAACACAAGTAAAACATATGATGCAAGTGATAGAACCTCAGTTTCAAAGAGACTTCATTTCTCTGCTCCCTAAAGAGGTAAGGATTACAAGTTACCTCCTTCTTTGGGTGGGATTTGAATGTACAACTCAGCAGCTACCACTGTTAAGCATTGTCATGCTAATTATGTTATTCAGTATTTTCAGTTTAAAACTCTTAATTAGTAGTAAAGAGGGCTTTAAATTGATGAACAATTACTTGATAATGTAATTGTCAGATTAAAGTATACTTAGGGACTAAGTTGCCTCTTTCTAGGACTGTAATGGAATTGATAATATATCATAGAGTAACTTTTTGAGTTGGATTCTTTGGATTGTTTCTTTACAGAGATTTTAGGTTCAATTTTGACCTTATGGGAAAATGTGATTTGTTCTGGTCCAATTTGGTTTGCAACCAGAATCATGGAGAGAATTAAATTCGTGAACTGAGGCAGCAGCTACTTACAATATGTAGTTACTGTGTTTAACAGAGTAAGGCAGAATGGCATATGTGCATCTTTTTGTGCTGATCATCTTCCTCTTCACTTCCATTAAACACACACGCAGACTTCCTGTGCTGTTGCATTCTTAAGGCACTTCTGGAGTTATTTATGCTCATTTTTAAACTTTCTTGTGAATGGATACCTGTAAAAATAAAGCATAGTTTAGATGTAGAGCTCTTATTGATCTTACAGACTTCCTAGTTTTATTTTTGTTGGCAAACAGGAGTAAAATAACATTAAATAATCAGTTTCTCCATGGTTTATATTTTCATGAATTATTACTACTTATAATAATATACTAAAAAATTATATATATAAAGGTGGTTCTGAAGCTTCAAACGTGAAAAGGAGTAAATATTTTTTCAGATAATCATTTTAAATATTCTAATGGCATTAAAGATGGTTCCAGTTATAATTGCATGTTACATGTGGATAAAATAGTTTTATCATCTCTTAGTGCATGAAACTAAGCGTAACTCTAGGGAAAAGCAAACCTGATTTTAAAAAAATCTTCTTCCTGAAATGATTTTTTCTTAGGGGTGCTTTTAAAAAGCAGGAAAAAAATGTTTATTTTTGCTAGCTATTTCTGAAATTGAACCCTTTGAATAAATTTGGCTTATGAAAAAGACATAAGCTCTCTTTCCTTCAAGAAGGGGATTCATAATAGGAATTACTTCTATATTTGACTGAAAGTGAATTTATTCTCTTTTGATATATTTTTGATAGTTGATATATTTAATATATTTTTGATAATTTCCCTGAAAAAAAATATATACATCCTCCTGACTTTAGAGGGTAATGTTAAATGTATTTTCTCTGTAGTTTAGTTTATATCTAGGAATGGTGGGTTTTTTTTCAGTTTTGTTTTGCTGTATTTTAATTCTGTAATAATGTTTTAACACAAAAATATTATTTAACATCACAAACATAAACAAAGCAAGAACATTAAAAGTGATACAGGGTTTCAAAACAAAATGATAGGAATTAACAGGGGTTGTTGTATTACAATATTGTTATCTTCAACTACTACTCTCTTTAAAGTAAAAAAAAGAAAATATAATTTTATTTCCTCATCGGATATGCTCTGAAAACAAAATGAAATAAAATGTAAAAAAAACCTGAAAGAAACAAATATGATTTAAAATCAGTAGAAGTTGAAAATTTTAGAGTCTAAAGAACTAAACACAAATTGTCAGTAATGAGAATGAATCCAATAAAAATTCTCTTAAGTGTTCTTTTAAACCTTGTCTGAGGAAGAAAAGTAAAGGCAGATTGGAAAATGGGAGGGAGCCCTGCCCCAGAATATCACCCATGTTGGGTTTTTGTTTACAAATACTAGAAAAGGTTTCCTAATTTGAAAAATACTTTATTTTTTATGTGGAAAAAAATACTGTCGATGTAAATCCTTAAGGAAATTAGCACTTTGACCAGAAACTCAGTTTTACCATTATTTAAAACATTATTACTTTCATGTAGTATGTATACAGTATTTTTCTTATAATTCATTTGAGCAGATCTCAGAGCTCTTTACTGACATCTACTTATTAAACTCAGAAACCATGATAAAAATTGTACTTGTCTCACATGACAAACTTGTGGTAAATAGCAGGGTCCTTACCTTGAAAGTAAACACCAGGAGGCTCATAGTGATAAGGTTAGGTGATCTAGAACAAAACCTGATAATATAGGGTTAGCTGACATTTTGTTGTTGTTGTTGTTCTTTAAATTTTTTTCCTTGACCAAGTCTGCTGAAATATAGCAATCCTACAGAAGTATTGGCTACTTTTTAAGAGCAATACGGTGGCCTGTGTCCCCTATAAAGAGCTTGTTTTTGTTCCAGTTGCTATAACAAAGTACCATAGACTTAAAAACAACAGAAATTCATTCCTCACAGTCCTGGAAGCTAGGAGGTTCGAGATCAGGGCCTGCGTCCAGGTGTGTCCATTGTCTCGTATCCTCAACTAGGGTGGCAAAAAGAGGGCTTGAGAACTCTGAGGGGTCCCTTGTATAGGGTACTGATCTCATTCCTGAGGGTCGCATTCTCATGACCTAGTCAACTCCCAAAGGCCCCACTTTCCAAAGCCCATCACATTTTGGTGGTTAGAATTTTAACAAATTTTAGGGGACACAAACATTCAATCCCATTTCATACCCCTACATGACCAGACTTGCTGCCTTTGAGGGACTGACGTACTTCTCCATAATGCATAATTAGGATCATGTAACTAATTGCTGTTCCCTTTCTACTTGGCAGATTAATTAAAAAGTCATACCATTGTTGCCAGGAACTTGTGTACTTCTTTTTCCTTTGCTGATATGTTTTTCCCCGTTTTCTGTTCGATGGAAGTAAATAGATACTGTGTAGACACACTAAAAAGCTGAAGTTTATGGTTGAGTTAGAGACTTCCCTGCTTTAAAGGAACGTGTGCTGTTCGCTGTGGAGCTCTGCTTTAACTTTCCATAGTACCTGACTATTGCTTTGCATTTCTCTTTAATGCATGCAGACACTAGACTGGAGGATCACTTAATCGCTACTAGTGCAGGAAATCTTACCTGTTGCTTTGAAATCTAAACTGTTCTGGACTTGTTATATCCTAGCCTTTTGAATTACCTGATTGTTGCTACTTCAGTAAGATAATGAAAGCAAAGAATAGACTTTTTCATATGACCATTATAAATATCTTTTTTTTCTTTTTTTTTTTTTGAGACAGGGTCTCGCTATGCAATTTAGCTGGCCTTGAACTCACTTTGTGCCCAGGCTGGCCTCTCACTCACAGCCATCCTCCCAAGTGTTAGGATTACAGACACGTGTTACTACACCTTAGTTAGTTAGTTAGCATTAGTTGGCATCTCTTGCATAAATATCTTTGTGCCTGGTAACATTTGTGTTAGATTACAATTTTCACAAAGGTTGATAATATGGTGACATTATATTACTGTTACACTGAAGTAAGCAAGCTTGCCTAGGCTTTGATCGATTGGTATTTTCAAAATGAAGTAGCTGTGGAATATATATATATATACATATATATAAATTGATGACAGAATATAGTTATGTCTTTTTATTTTAAATGACTGTAGTGGTGATACTGAATGCTCTTCTCCGATAGAAACATTTATTTCATGAAAAGTTTGTCACTCATTCATCAATAGTAGAATTAAACTGAAATGAATACTGACTGGTTGATACTTTGTATGTAGAATGTGCTCAATAAATAGGAGATTAATGGTGAACTCTACATATTTAGAGTTACTGGGAAGAAATAATTTATATCATATAATTCTTGTTCAACTTCAAAAAACCATGCAAGTTGTGCTTCACTCCCTGTGACCCTGTGATACTTTGTATGTAGAATGTGCTCAATAAATAAGAGATTAATGGTGAACTCTACATATTTAGAGTCACTGGGAAGAAATAATTTTGTATCATGTAATTCTTGTTCAACTTCAAAAAACCATGCAAGTTGTGCTTCACTCCCTGTGACCCTGTGATACTTTGTATGTAGAATGTGCTCAATAAATAAGAGATTAATGGTGAACTCTACATATTTAGAGTCACTGGGAAGAAATAATTTTGTATCATGTAATTCTTGTTCAACTTCAAAAAATCATGCAAGTTGTGCTTTACTCCCTGTGACCCTTGGCCCTTCATATGATAGTTTGATTCAATCTTCGTCAGTTTATGAAAACTGAACTGTATTGCAGTATTTAGGTACATTTTTATTGTTATATGATAATTTTATTTTTTATATGTGTCAGGTTACTATTCTACTTTCCTTTTCCTTTGTTTACTTGAATTGACTTATACGTAGTCAAAAAATAATGGTTTACAAATATTATAAGCAAAATTTTTAAATCAACGGTATGCTGAAGAGCTACCTCAAATATATAACTTGGTGTGGCCTATCAAGGAAATCCCTATAAGCACTGGAAAGTAATTAGAACCCAATTACTTTAATATGTCTGTGGAACAGTTTAATAATTGTCTTGGGTGTCAAGGGTGTAATGTTTCCAAAGTTTATCATTGTGATAAACACTTTGATAGGATGAAGGATTTGATAGGATGAAGATCTACTAATTATGATATCTAACAAGTGATCTGAAATTAAACCATGCAGAATCTATAAAATTCCTATTTCTGATCAGTCAGGCTGGGCAGAGTACTTAGTGAAATTATATTGTAATGGGAAGGAAAACAAATATAAACAATAAAGTAAAAATAAAATATCACGAGGAGGAGGCCAAGGAGAGAAAACAAAGAGACCGAGAAAAAGCAGCTCTTTTGCTACAGTACTAAGAGAAACAGAACCTAATTCTGATTCTCGGGGTCCCAAGAAGAATTTGATGACTACATTCATCTGCTACCACTGTTAAAAGCCAGGCCACCTCAAGAGGAACTGCCCAAAGAAGCCCTCTGGGCCATGCCCTGAATGCAAAGGTGACCACTGGAGGTCTATCTGCCCTCTGAAGCAGAGGCCCCAAAGTTCAGACCCATCCTTCTAGTTAGTCTAACAGGAATGAGGAGTCCTGGGGCATACTCTGCCTTCTCCCTCTGACCAGACTGTCATCTCCATGGAGGAGCCCCACATAATCGTGACTGTAGAGGAAAAAGAAAACAGCCTGTTGTTAGACACAGGTGCAAGTCTCTCGGTCCTTCTTTTCAATCCTGGCCTTCCTTCCAGCTGTCACACCTCAGTGAAAGGAGTCACTGGTGAGGAGGTAATCTGCCATTTTTCTCAACCCTTAGGCTGTAAATACTTGTTAGATCTTTCTTGCGTATCTCTGTCTTCCTGAGAAACCACTTTGAAGATACCACTATATATTACAGCAGCCATTGATATTTTCCTATTAATCTGCCCATAACTCTGTAATGTTTGTCTTGTTCCTATGCTATTTCATAAATGGATGTATGTTTATTACTGTGTGTTTCCAACAACAACCATTGAGAATAGTCAATGAATATTCAATTGGTCACTCCTGCTCTATTTATTTTCTTTAGAAACCACTTTGAAGATACCACAGTATTGTACAACAACCATTGATAATAACCTACCACTTTTGTCTGTAGCTCACTATTATTTGTCTGTTTGTTTTCCTGAGAAACTATCTTGTAGATAACAGTATGTAAAACAACAACCACTGATAATTTCCTACCATTTTGTCTATAATTTGGTAAACCCCTCTATTACTATGTTATCCTTCTTTACTCTTTAAAATAAAAAAAAAGTAACATATCAATTGTTTTGAGACTTAGAACAAAGGCAAAGTCGAGACACGTAATTAGTATTCCTTCAAGATGTAGAATTATTGATGTTCATGGAAAGCTGTAGGGCATTTGTTTTTAATGTCTTGTTAATATTTGTAAAGATTGAATGTACTGCCTTTCATAAATTTAGACATTATAATATGGAATTATATTTATATGTAAATATCTTACCATACAGAGAATAATTAACTTATCTTCAGTTTTTAAGAAATATGGGTATACCCTGCATTTTTTCTTTTCCATAGCTGGCACTTTATGTGCTTTCATTTCTGGAACCCAAAGACCTGCTACAAGCAGCGCAGACATGTCGATACTGGAGAATTTTGGCTGAGGACAACCTTCTCTGGAGAGAGAAATGCAAAGAAGAGGGTAAGGTTCAAATTTGAATTGACAGTATGTTGGTTCTTCAGAAAAGCAGTGTGATTCTGAAGATAGGTGCACAAAATAAGAGTAATTTTATGCGCAAGTGGAATAATAGTGAATAAGTGAAAAGGGGGAACTTTGGCAGCTTGTCAAAGACTGGGTCTTCGTTTACATTCGCCTACTTGTATCCAGTAGCTAGAGGCAAGATGAAGGCAGTTTAAAGGAAACTAAAAAGTTATATTATCGGATATTGAATATTTTATTTATTCCTTACATAAATATTTATTGAATACCTACTATGAGCTAGACTTTATTTTGGTTTGATTTGGTTTGGTTTGGTGAGACAGTCTCACTGTATAGTTCAGGCTGAACTTGAACTCACTGTGGAGCCCAAGCTGGATCCTTTTGCCTCCACCTCCTGAGTGCTAAGATCACAGGCATGTGCCACCATGCCCAAGTGACATTCTTAAAGTGTGATGTCCTGCCATTGTCTCCCTATTGTGGAGCTTCTGTTCCTAAGAACTTGTTTTGTTTTAAAATCTTTCTTGTAAGGAAATAGACATCACCAATAATAAGTGGAGGACTTTTTTCCAGCAAACATATATAAAATAATCATTTAAAAAAAATATATATATATATACATATGGTATTTGCCTCTAAGAAGCAAAATTTCTCTGAAAGAATCACAGGCCCACAGGTATTCTGTGGGTGATTCTGCCCTTGGTATCAGGAAGCCAGACGGGGAACACTGACGGCTAGTTCTGGTTACATAAACTTCCAGGTGAAGATGCAGGATTCTTGGTTTCTCATCTTGCTTTTACTAGACTCCTGACTGGGTTAACCAGTGATATCTTCCTTCTCTAGTGTCCGTATAAAGTGAGATTAATCATCTGTATCACCTTCTCTCGTAGAATCATTTTTTAATGGTTTTTTAAATTGTGGTAACGTGATAAAATTTATTATTGAAACAATTTCAAGTGTATAATTCAGTGGCATTAGGTACATTCACATTTTGTGGTACAGTCACCAGCATGTCTTCATCTTTCCTCACTGAACTCCATGTCCATTTAATAATAACTCCCTAATCTTCCTTCCCCTGGGGCCTGGCAGCCACTTTCTATTTCTGTCAAATAGAAATTTCTGACCAGTCTAGTTATCTTAGATAGGTAAAATCATACAATATTTGCCCTTTTGTGATTGTTTTATTTCACTTAGCATATTATCTTGAGCGTTTATCCATGTTATGGCAGCTGTCAGAATTTTCTTTCTCAAGGGTGAGTGATATTCCATTGTGTATATTTACCATGTCAACGTGCACTTGGACTGCTTCTACCTTTTGGCTATTGTGAATGATACTGCTATGAGTACAGGTGTACAGTTACAGGTGTACAGTTACCTGTTCAAGTCTCTTTCTTTTGTACTTTGGGTATACGTTGAGAAGTAGACTTGCTTGATCATATGTTAAATCTGTGTTTAATTTTTTGATGGAGCCAACATACCGTTTTCCGCTATAGCTGTACTATTTTACATTCACTCAAGCAATGCACAAACAATCCAATTTCTGCATATCTTCACCAACATCTCTTGGAATCATTTTTAGAAAGAAATGAAATAATGAGTATAAAAATGTCCCATACAGAATGCTCACTTTTATGATTGTTATATTCCTTAATAACAGTATCAGAAATTGGACTATGTCCTGCATCTTACTGGTTTTAAGCATAGAGGAAAATGAAATACATTTTTAAATGTGTAATTTCTATTAATGGTAAAAAGAATTATTCTCCTGAATTCTTTGATACTTCAGGGATTGATGAACCATTGCACATCAAGAGAAGAAAAGTAATAAAGCCAGGTTTCATACACAGCCCATGGAAAAGTGCATACATTAGACAGCACAGAATTGATACAAACTGGAGGCGAGGAGAACTCAAATCTCCGAAGGTAACTGAACGTTTACTATGTAACAGAAACCGTTAGTCAGTAGGTCCTACCTTATGTACTGCTTCACTTCTTGGCATGCAGTGTAACTCCACACCTATCTTCAGTGGGAAGGAAACTGTATTTTAAAATAACAAAAAATACAACTGATACTATTCCTTTACTGCTAATTTTTGTAATCTGACAATTAATTTACTTGAAGAAAAAAAATAAGATGACTTGTATGTCTTTCATGTTTTCATCTTAGGTAAATTAAAATCCCTGAGTATCTCCTTGAAATGTATTATATTATATGTGTTTTTCCTAAAATTTACAGCTCCCTCTGATCACATTGCCTGAACATGATTTTTTTGAGGAGTGTCTGTATTTTGGCTTAGAGTGGCTTTTGTATGTTTTATTTTTATAAATTAAAGCATAAACCTGATTTTCTTACAACCTTTAAAGTATACAAAGAATGGTAAAAACGCTTAATATTCTTAGATATAGTTTTATAACAGAAAAACAATTTAGGGAGACGATATGTGTACATTATGACAGATTTTTTGTTTAAGTTAAAAAAACTGATAATTGTTACTCATCTTTATAATTAGGAGGTATTTTGTTCTTGTATGCTAGAAGTTCTTGTGTGTATAAGACACATTACTTTTCTTTAAAGGTAAAATAGGTGATTATAAAATACGCTTGTTCTTGAGCCATCTTTATGAGATCTTGACTTGGTAAAATTTTAATCGTAGGTGTTTGAAATGGAAATAATAGAATATGGAAGTAAAGTGTTTAAGGTTGACTCATCAGCCAAGAAGGATGATGCTTCATTTTCTATAAATCTTTATTCTAGAAATCTACTATGGTTACTGTTCCTACTTAATGACTGCTCCTTTCTTTCCATCAGCATTTTAAAGAACATAACATGGGGCATATTCCTAACCTATGCATCTCCCTGATAGGTGCTGAAAGGACATGACGATCATGTGATCACATGCTTGCAGTTCTGTGGGAACCGGATAGTTAGTGGTTCTGATGACAACACTTTAAAAGTTTGGTCAGCTGTCACAGGCAAAGTAAGTTTACGTCTTTCTGCACTTCACAGAGTGACCATTTTAAGTTTATCTCCACAAGCATCAACCAGTGAAAGGATTCATTTTTAGTCCTCGCTTATTATGATAGCAAATATCAGGGCTTCTAGCTTAGGGCCCGCCCCCCATGTTTGTGAAAGTCACCTTGGCATGATGATAATGATGCTTCCTATGATAGGGATGTCATTCGGTTTTTTCTTCATTTAAATAGTTTGTCTATCTCTGTGACCTAAGTATTTTAAGATATTTTCAGATACATGTTTTTCTTGGCTCACTTTTTCCCATCCAAGTTATACTTCATTTATTTTTATGTCTTTCAAAAGTATAATAGACATTTATTTTTCCTTATAAACTGCTTTGTTTATAAGCTACCTGTAATTTAGAAGTTCAAAGTATGTTAATCCAAAGTTAATGCCAGACCCTTGTGATGTAAAAGTTAAGCAGAGTAGGCATTTAAAAATGGCTTTGAAGGAAAAAGCAGTCCAAGGAATAGATTTATTTCATACAATATTGCTTTAATGATTCTTGAGCAAATATTTATTTTATCTTTATGAATTAAGTAATTGGCCACCTACGGTCACAGGGAAAAAAATCCATGTTTTAAAAAATATCTTTTACTATACTGCTTCTTGGACAAGAATCTTATAAATATTAAAAGTCACATGTTAAAATTTTTAAAAGCAGCTTCGTATTTCATGGTGTAATATTAGTTTTGGATTTATTTCAGGGTTGTAATGTCTGTCTTTACTTGTTTAGCAGTAGCTTGGCTAGCTCCTAACTATTGCCTTGGGGCAGATTTAGATGAAGTGTGGTATGTAGCCACACCCAATTCTGTGGCTGTTCTTTCCTGAGGTCTGTTTCTATGCAACAACCCAAGTTGCAGTTTCAGTATTATTTTGTCAAGGAGGCCAGCTGGGAGCTACCGCACACTGCATTCATCTTATATGTTTGCTTTGCGTCACACTGTGTTTATGTCATGTGATTCTTACATAAGTTTCGTATCATGTTTGCTTTCTACGTATTTGTTCCTCAGTTGGTGGACATGTGTAAGTATACAATCAATGCTACTACATAGACTAAGCAGTAAATATAACAATGGTGGGGCCATGTTATAATGATGCCTCAAAGATGTTCTCATGATCAAATTTACTTGGTGGTTTATTCCAAATTTTAATGAGCTATTAAAATATTACTTAAATAACTTTCCTTTTACCAAAAATTAATCATCTTAAGTGTTTTTACAGTGTCTGAGAACGTTAGTGGGACATACAGGTGGAGTCTGGTCATCACAGATGAGAGACAATATCATCATCAGTGGATCTACAGACCGGACCCTCAAAGTGTGGAACGCCGAGACTGGGGAATGTATACACACCCTGTATGGGCACACTTCCACTGTGCGCTGTATGCATCTCCATGAGAAAAGGTACAGCAAAAATCCCATTCTGGTTGATGTGTTCTGTCACTTGTGAATTGTTACTGATACAGTGATGATTTTTTAAAGTAGACTTCAGTGTTTCTAAGTTAGGAAAACCATAAGGGCTTTGCTTAGAATTGCAGACTTGTCTTTGAATTTCTTTCTTCATTTGATATGTTGTGGGCTGCTTTCTTGAAACTATCACTGTTCCTTTTTATTGTTTGATGATTCATCATCTTCAAACAAGAATCATTTTCTCTTTCTTGGTATCTGTATTTCTGCAAGTGAACAAATTCAGTCACTCGGGCTTTTAGTCCTCTGAGTCCTTTTATTTACCTAATGCCCAGCTCTTGTCGTAACCCCAAAATCTAGGCAAAAGCAGAGGCCCGGGAGTGTTAGTTTATCTTTTACTACCTGTTGTTGGCACTGTCACCGTAGCTTTCAAACACGGTCTTCTCACCTTGTATACAGGTGACAGAGAGCCCTGTAATTACGATGGTGTTACTGGCCTGTTCTAAATGTTGGGAGCCTACTGTTGCCTACTGAAGTAAGGAAGAAATCCTCAGTCCAGAATCGTTTTCAAAATTACTTCAGCCAAACCAGACTGCTTGTCTTTTCCTTCCCAGCTCCTTTACTGTTGTTCTTTTCTCCTCCTGTAATGCCCTTCTATTAAAATCTTGTCTTCCTATTGGCATATCTTCATTGTACCCCGTTAAACAAATGTGTTTTCTACTTCATTTGTTAAAAGATCTCTCTGAAAGGTTCCTGCTGCACTCTTAATGTTACCAAAAACAATTGAGTAATCTAAACTTCACCATAGAGTTGTCATGTGTGAAGAAGAGTGCCTTTCACTTGGAATTTGAGTCTACTTTGAAAAGTGTGCTGTGTGGCTGAAACCTACAGAACATGGGTGTCAGTAAACCTTGTGATTCAGTTGCAGTTATATTCTGGCTTAACTCTCAGGGCTTCAACATTCTGCTCTCCAATATGGAAGCTATGGCACTTCTTTTTCTCTTAGGAATGACATATGGATACCTGAGTGTTCGGCTTTATTAGTAATCCAGAGATGATTACATTATTTATATCACTGTCGTTTTCAGAAGAGTATAACTTTAATAATGATGGGCCAGGAATTCCTGCTGCTTCTGCAGATACATGTCTTTAATACATCGGTGTATTTTAACAACCCCATTGCCTGTTGAGTATTTGTAAATTTAAGCATTAACAGCATAAGCAGCCTTTGTTTGAAAATATACCTAAAGCTGGTTAATTTTACCAGAATATGTAGTAGGAACCATCTGTAGGTTTTTAAACCCAAAATTCTGATTCAAAAATGTTTTGCTGAAAAATCTTTATTGAATTTTTTGCCTAATCACAAAGGTAATGTGTATTCATAATTGAACATTGGGAAAATAACAGCATGAAGAAGATATTTAAGTTACTCAAAGTAATACCACTCATTCCCCCATTATCATTTTATATACATGCTCACATTGTCAGGACCACACCGTATATATTGACAGCCCCCTTCCTTTTTTAATACAATACAGAAGTTTTCAAACTGTGTTCCACAGACCCGCACAGGGCTTGCAGGTACACCTCAGGGGTTGAGCACTTGTTTGGTGTGTGTAAGGTGCCGAGTTCCATTCCCAGCACTGCACAACAGCACGTTCACAGAACCTTGTAATACTGGAAGTGAAGTCCACAGTAAGGGAAGCAGCCCACCGGTGGAATTATAGGCATCCCCACCTTCCATCTCAACCAGAGTTACTCGGTAGTGTGTTTTATATCAGGGTTTTACGGAGCACTCCTTGAGAAAACAGGTGTCCATGCTCAAGCAAAAAGGAGGGGCTTGAAAAGTCACTGGCTCTATCCAGCTCTAAGTTATAGTGTACTTTCTCTCTCTTTTCCCCCTGCAGAGTTGTCAGTGGTTCTCGAGATGCCACTCTTAGGGTTTGGGATATCGAGACAGGCCAGTGTTTACATGTCTTGATGGGTCACGTAGCAGCAGTCCGCTGTGTTCAGTACGATGGCCGGAGGGTTGTCAGTGGAGCGTATGATTTTATGGTGAAGGTGTGGGATCCGGAGACTGAGACTTGTCTACACACGCTGCAGGGGCACACGAATAGGGTCTATTCCTTACAGGTAAGTGGCCTTATGGCTCCCGTCCCTGAGATGCTCTGTTCGTGAGTCACACGATTGTGTCACTCAGATTGATGATCACTGTCAGATGGCTGATCCAGGTAGTCCAAAACAGGTGTTTGCTTGTACTTGGAAATTAGCATGAAGAAAACATAAATTTCAAAATTATTTAAATGATTTAATAGTTTCAATTTTGTGATCCATTTTCCCTCTAAACTACAAATATTTGTCTTGGGACCTGAGACTTTGGGGCTCTTAGTTTGCTATGTTAATTAATAGACAGCCTCATAGGAAAATCACCTGGATTTTAATACACTTAGCAGAGGATTAATTTGGCCGAAAGCTCCCCCTTTGCCTTGGTAGCTGAAAGTTGATGGACCATGTAATTGTGGTTCCAGCCCCGTTCAAAGTGGAGGTGGAGCCCGTCTGCATGGAGCCGCTCTGCTGTCCCAGCCCGCTGGTTTGTACTCGCAAAGAAGTAGATTTGACTAACCTGACTTTTACATTTGAACCAGATACCCAGGAATAGATTGTCGTATTTAAAGATCATTAACAAGACTCAGATTTAGAAAATGGATTTTGTTTATTTCCTGAAAGGCACCGTATTCAGTTTCTTAAAAATATATCCCATTAATTACATAGTTTATTTACCAGCTACTGCCCCTTAATGATCAGCAAATTAGTACATAATCCCACTGCTGACATTGCTGTTCTGAGAGTGTTTCTTAATATATAGGGTCCTGTCCATGTCATTAAATATGGATATATAATACAAATGTTAAATTAGAAAAAGTGATGAGCTTGAAGGAAAGGGAGCTGGCTGCAGCTGCTTTGATGTGTGTAATATTCTCAGAACCAAATGAAACACAGTATTCTTAAAATAAACCGCTCAGTACAAAGGAGGTAGCCAGTGTACGTATCTATAAAATCTTCTGGGAACTGATAGGCACTTACTGGCTTTTGCCTAGCTGCAAAGCTGGAGGAGATGTTGCATCGCTTGCTTTTGTTACCATAATGCCGCCTTTGTCAATTCTAGATATCATTATCTTTTGGCACATTTCCTAATTAGCATTAGGTTCTTGTAAATGAAACTTTCATTTTGCATACTGTTTTTAATGGGAACTTCCCCTTGGAACAACATGAAAGTTATCTCTAGCCCTTTCCATGCCTCAGGTGCTGATAAGCATACCCTTCTATCACAGCCTGTTGTCATTATTTTAGCTTCCTATGGAGAAGTACCCAAATGGCAATCCTCACTGAATCATGCCTGGTATAAGCTATTGGATGCGACCAGATGATTTGAAAATAATGTTATTTGAGGGTTTTTTCCCCCCTTTTTAAAGTTGTTTCTGCATCTACTTTGAGGCTACTGGGCATAGAAAATTCACATTTCTGATAGAAGTGTCTCAGCCACATGCACTGTGGAGTTGCCTGGTGGCTGCACTTTATCCTGATACCTCATGTTTTCCTGGCCTTGTCCGTTGCCACATTCACCTCCATATTAAAAGTAAGGCCAGTAATTGATAAGAAGTGTTCCCATTCTTCTGTTCTAATAAGCTGTGTCTCTTGCAGTTTGATGGCATCCATGTGGTGAGTGGCTCTCTTGATACATCAATCCGAGTTTGGGACGTGGAGACGGGGAATTGCATACACACATTAACAGGGCACCAGTCATTAACCAGTGGAATGGAACTCAAAGACAATATTCTTGTCTCTGGGAATGCAGATTCTACAGTTAAAATCTGGGATATCAAAACAGGACAGTGTTTACAAACATTGCAAGGTAAGAATTGCCTACCTTTAGTTGTATTCACTAAAAATGTTACTAGACATGGATGAAGCCTTCACCTCATACAGAGTGCTTCCTCCAGGTACGTGTGTGAGCATTGTCCCTCTGACCTCCAGAACCAGGCTGCCTTGAGAAAATGCTTCAGGTTGTGTGTTTAATACAAACCTGTTTGTATCCTCTGTGTTCATTTCTACTTGTTCCTTATATTCCTGCATGTTCAGTGAGTCTGTACGCCTTAAACAACTTGAGAAGAAAGATCGTGGCTATTTCACAGAAGCAATGTAGCCATTTATTTTGAATTTAAGCATCTCATAGAAAATCGTCTTCTCTTTGACTGAGCCCCCCACGTAGCTGGGATGCAAAGGAATAGTAGAGTGCTCTGACACACAAAAAAGATACACGTAAGAATCATCACTATTAAATGAGGCACAACAGGGCTGGGCACTTAGCTCAGTGGCACAGTGCCTGCCTGGCAAGCACGAGGTCGTGAGTTCAATTCCTGGTACCAGAGAAAAACCAAAAAAAGAAAAAAGAAAAAAAGAAATGAGGCACAACAGTGTTGACTTCTTAGTGATTGCCTTTTCTTGGTCTGACCCCTCAGTTTTTGAGTGAGGTCAGGGGGTAGGCAGCCCCGCCACATTTTGCTGCTCGGCTTAACCTTGGCTTTGGAGTAGTGTCCATTCAGCTTTACCCTTGGCTGCTCGGTGCCGAGTGGCAGGGTAACAGATGTCTTGTGCTCGTTTGTGCATCAGCAGAATACAGGAGGCTGTGCTGTCTTTATCCCTGCAGGAAAGCTCTCGCTCATTCACGCAGCCAGAAAAGCAAATGTGTGCCTGGTAGTTCACCAAGCTTCCTGGAAGACGGCTCTTGAAAGTTAGCATTCCAGTTACAAATAGCTACCAGATTTTCTTACATCCTTGCTGATCTTAAAATACTCAGAGCAGCGTTTCTAAATGTGCAGCATTTTAAATGTTGCATTTATTGTATGTTCTAATGTAGAAGGCTACAAATTACAATATACCTAACTCATGGCCGTGGTTCCTAACCAGTAATTAAGTTCCTTTGGTTTTGCCTAGGTCCCAACAAGCATCAGAGTGCTGTGACCTGTTTACAGTTCAACAAGAACTTTGTAATTACCAGCTCAGATGATGGAACTGTAAAACTATGGGACTTGAAAACGGGTGAATTTATTCGAAACCTAGTCACATTGGAAAGCGGGGGGAGCGGGGGAGTTGTGTGGCGGATCAGAGCCTCCAACACAAAGCTGGTGTGTGCGGTCGGGAGTCGGAACGGGACTGAAGAAACCAAGCTGCTGGTGCTGGACTTCGATGTGGACATGAAGTGAAGAGCAGAAAAGGTGGATTTTGTCCAGATGTGTAGAGATACACTCCCTGCCCTTCCCCCTGCGCAAAAAAAAAAAAAAAAAA